TCATTGTTAAGTATGACTACCTTGTTTGCATCTCTTTGTTAAGAAATATATGATTATTTTGTTTTTATTATTTATTAAGGGTAGAATAGTCTTTTAAGTTGTCTTTATTTTAGACTATATATAGTCTCTTTGTATCTAGGTTTTATTTATTCAATTACATTATGCAGAATCAATAAAACCCTAGTCTCTTTTTCTTTTTCTCACCTTGCAACTTCGGCTCTTTGTTTAGCCTACTCAGCTATTCAGACTCTCTAGTAATTTTTCTCATTGAACAGGAGCAGACCTGTCTGCTGTCCGGAGGCCACTGTGCTTCTCTCTCGCCCTTCCCGTAGTCCTTTTGGTTGTGAAAGCAGTCTACTTTGTTCAAAATATTGAAAATATGGATGAAAGGTAAATCTTGAAAAGATAAATTTTCTAGTTTGGGAATGATTAGATTTTGTGTGGTACCTTGTTCTGGATCATTGAATCCCAGGCATGGCCACTCAATGCGAATCGGATGATGAACTTGCGAGTGTCAAGTGGGAAGTAGGTGACAACGCTGAAGATCCAGGTGACTCCAGCCCAGCCCCATCCAATGTCATGAATTGTTGCGAAACCCCAGTTTGCATATACAGCAATAATTGTAGCCAACTGAAATCAAGAACTCAAATGACATCAAAAACTTGAAGCGATCGTTATGTCAATCACGAGCTGAATTTTGCTTCCAGAACTTACCAATTGGGCTATTAGGAAAGCGCTGAATAGCAAGACACCAGGGTGTTCCACGAATGACCAGCGTCGGTACCTAGTCACAAAGATGAGTGCTTGACTGATAATGCTCACTTGGAGGTAGATAGCAGCTGTAAGTTCATCTGCATTGCCTCTAATAGATCTCACTTTGAAGGAATTCTGCAAGCCATCCAAGTATAGTGCTTAAATTCAGTTAATTTCTTTCTCCTACTATTGTTCGAAAATGTGCTTGTGTGCGTACATGTATATGACAAGGTTTGGTATTAAGGAATGAACTTACAGAGAAGAAATCAGCATCAAACGCAAGGTAAAAGAATACAACAGTCATGACAGCCCCGAGGCCAAAGCCAGTGGCAAAGATTTCCTTGAGTTTCCACGAGTCGGGCACTGGAGATGGTTTCACCCGTCCTTGGAGATTGTCATGATGGTACCATCGTTAAGGACGGCACTGATTAAGACCATAAAAGGTGAGAAGTCAAACTCCCATATGAGAGCAATTAACATAAATCCCATGACGATACGAATTGTGATGGAAACAGCAGAGATGGTATAATTCTTCATCCTCTAGAAGATTGCTCTACTTGTCAACACTGCACTAATAATCACGCTAAGTCCTGGTTTGGTCAGAACAATGTCTGATGCACCTCTGGAGGCATCAGTTGCAAAAGTTTTTTATAGCATCAGTTGCAAACTATGACGATTACAAAGTGCTATGTAAAAGTTTTTTATAGCATTTTATAATAGCATTCATAAAATGTTATAATAGAGGAACGGCTTTTAATAACACCACCTATAGTAGCATTCGAGAAAATGCTATAA